CTGACTAAGTTCCGCTACAGAGGATGTGAGTGGGAAGTGTCTGGTAGAGTGTTTTGAATCAGATAGTAGAATATGTATCTGCACCATGTGTCTGAGTGTGGGTGTGTGCCTATGTGTCTGATAAGGGTGCCATCCAGATGGATGGATCGAGAGAGAAATATATTGGGGGGGGGACAGAGAGAGAGAATAAGCGAGGGAGCAGAAGAGTGAGAGAGTACGACTGCAGTTAAATGCATCATGGATTGCATGGATGTGCTCTGATCTGAGGGTTTCTGTGGTCTCAGAAAGAAAGCAAGAAACAGAGTATTAGGCATGACCGTGTTGTAAACCATCTGCGGAGATGACAAGGAGATTCTGCTTCTGGCCTCGCCCTCTGAAACGCATCTCTGCACCTCTCAGATAGTGAACTCAAACTGGATTAATCCCAGCTCACAGGGATGCCTAGAGTTCACCCAGTGTATGGCCAGTTGAACAATGAAGTAGGGTTAATTAAGGCTAGCCCTGAATCCTCTGTGAGAATCCTTCAGGTTGGCTGGAGATGGAGTTAGCTAGCTGCCCACTGCAGTGCCGAGATGAAGGCGGAGCCCCACAGGGGAACAACACTCCGCTATCTCTGACTAATAAGGCATTTTAATTGTGTGGATTTAATTTAAGTACAGATTTATGGCTTCACAAGCGCTCATCACGCCCACTTAAAAATGAACTGGGAAGGCCTTTCCCTTGATCTTTCACTGTGTGCTAATATCTCTCACACTGGTTCTTTCTCTCTTAAGGAGGAGGGACACATCATTAAAATGCTATGTAAAAAGGTGTCCAATCTTTGGCCTGACTGGGCTAAGTATCAACACTGGGCTCAATGTAAGCTAATGGTCTCCCCGGCAACCATCATGTAATTTCACACATTCGGAGAGAGGGAGAACGTGTTGGGAAAACCTATAGATGCATCCCTGAATGTCAAGCTGCACTCACACTCACACAAACACAAACACACATAAGCTGTATAGGCTGTGTCCCAATCAAAATTGGCATGTATCAATCCTAAGGTACCTTAAAATGCTGCCTTCTAAGGTGCCTTAAAAAGGGGTTTGATTTTGAAGGCAGCATCACATGTATCCTTCGTCGGGGAGGCTATCCCATAACACCTTGTGGCGCAGCGAAAATACCCCAAATGTAAGAATTAATGGTGGACAGAAGTCCCCTCTTTGGAGAACATTTTTCAGAAGAATAAGGAATAACTTAATGTAAGTATAACATTTATTTCTCACCAAATTATGTTAAAATGCTCAACAAATCACCTTCATATGAATTTTGAATTCAAATGTTGAGTAACTGGTGTTTATCAGCCCATTGCTAACACGCCGGACGCGATAGCTAGCTAGCAGGCGATCTCGTCCTGCTTATCGGTTGTTTAGAGATTAACAACTAAACAAACTAACCATAGATTCAGCATTGTGTCAATTGTGAAGACCCGGACAGTTTCTAAATCATGAATTGGTAAACGTACTAGCCAGCTAAATGTAGCAAATCGTTTTTTCCCAATCTGTTTTCAGGGACTAAAGTGGGCACCTGATCGCGTTTCACTCCATTGCATTGGCAGCAGAAAACAGTTCTGCCCGACTTGTTTGGAGGGAAGACATTTTATTAACAACATCTGATGAAAAGCGTAGGAAATGCAGCCAGCTGTGTTCTGTTCAATCTAGGCTTGTTAGCCAGCCAAATTATTTGTGCATTCTGTTGATGAGTCTGTTTTGCTAGCTTGCTAACAAGCTGCATACAGTGTCTGTTTACCTAACGTTAGCTAACTTTCTCTTGCTACATTCCTTTCCCCTATTGTGTTGCACCATTGGGTTTGGGGTTACTAGTTAACATTATAGGCTAAATTATTCTACTCTTAGTGTAAACAAATTGTTCAAGCCTACAAATAAGCAAAACTGTTAACAAAACGATTGCACATTAATAAAGGTAGTTGGGGCTTCAGCAACTTGAACCAGCACTGAAATCTGAGCAGAGAGGTTAGTTTCTCCCCCCTTGTCTCTGCTTGTTCCAGGTTGAAGGACATCCCACACCTACACCCTGCAGATTTAAAGAACTTGTTGGGAACCTTCAAGCCACCAGGATAATCACCATATCCCAGGATTTTACGGAGTGTGCAACATCACAATGTTAGATAGAAATAGATTCACCCATGTTATTATTTATCATGCAGATTTGTCAGGACATTGTAATTTATTAAGCTCATTCTAAAATAGACACGATTTCTGTCCCAGGGGATTTCACTGTGTGCAAGTCTTCAATTTAGACCACAGTTAGTTGACTTAGGTTAGTGAAGGGCTGGGGATGGAACAAAAACCAGTAAACTCCTGGCCTGTCTATAAAAAAAAAAACCTGTGGCTTTCATGACAAAATTTCCCCTCATGTACTGAACAAGCTTATGTATGTTGGAAGTTAATCTCCTTGATGTCCCTCACTTGGGAATTGCTTCTTTTGTACAATGGAATGTGTTTTAAGGACTCATGCACAGATACAGGAAAACCAATACAAATGTTAACATTTATTCAAAATGACAAGTGTTGATGTCTCAACATGTTTTGAGGTTTGGGCATCTGGTGACTTCAGTTAATCTGACTAATCCCCTGCAAGAGAAAGGCATCAATAATTTTACAATGCTGTATTCATTTAATTGAATATATATTCCTGTTTGATATGCATTTATATAATTATATTGGACATGTTATCCTTTATCACATGCCAGTATTTTTGTTGTTGTTGTATACAATGCATTTAGTTAACATTAGGATGAAGTAGCCTTCTTATGTAGTTAGACTGCATCATATCACCTTTCAATATTAGTTATCAACAAATATAAAACCATGTTGAGATCAGTGTCATTTAATAATATGCGCGGGTGTGATAGTTGATGAATCACAATGCAAGCCAACTCATTAGAATAAAACATTAGCAGCTCTAATGCAATATTAGCTTCACAGTGAAACACCACTATTCTGGCTATTAATCATTCTTAAGCAGTCAGTAAAATAGCTTAGCTATCTCAAAAAACGGTATCCTGTATCATGCATGCAAGCTTACCTGTCAAGTCCACATTCCCCAACTATGGAGCAGCAGACCAAGCAATATGCTAGAGGAGGACCCTATACTCTAGAACAATTATTCTGTTAGTGTCAACTTAATTCATGAACAGGTACGGAGGAGATCAATTCTGTAACTTGCTTACTTTTTATTCGTGTCAGATATTTCCATTTTGGGATAGTTGTTCACTGAATTGCTAGCACTAGTTGCTCACGCTGCTACAGTGGCTACAATGTAAACAAATGTCTCACGCTTGGTGGAACCTATATACAGTAATTGGGTGGAACGCAAATACTTTGATTTGGACATACTCCGACCCTCCCTTGCTCCAATTTGCGTGCTCGGAGCATGGTAGAATGCCTTTTGAGAAACACCCTCAGTGTATATCATCCTCCGTGTCAAAGATGCTTGCCCTACATCCAGTTATAGGAGTTAGGGCTAAAAAGAGAAGAGGTGAAACTGCCAGAGATATGAATATGTACCTGACAGCGAATGGCAGCACCAGCGTGTTTACATTCAGCACTGCCAATAATCCTTGAGAAGCTCAGTTCTAGTCACACACAACTGAGCACATCCCCACTGAAAATGTGAGTCATTGTTTAGAGCAGCATGGTTGACTAGAGTAAGCTCTCCACTCCACATCTGTCACTCCAATAGGCAGCAACTTAATTATTTATTTTGGTTCTTCCTGATGTGAGAGGGGATGCCATACATGAGGTAACATCTGCTGAGGTATGTCACATTAGTTTTAACATCTGTCCGCGTTTTTACGCCACCAATCAACTCACACGTCTTGAAACACTTTACACACTCACGCAGAGAAACACAAATAGAGAGAGGTGAGGAGGACAGCTTGATTCACAGGTGCACACAGCACAGACTCTAGCAGTAGAATGTAGCTAGATTAAACATGTATATCCTCAAATACAACCCAAACACGCAAACCCACTGCAGGGCTACAGTCCATTGTCACTTTGCTCCTATTTGCTATCCAACACTGAGACAGTGGTGACTGTGGGTGACTGTACTCACTACTGACTCTCTTTACCCACAGGGGCTCGTAATCGTCCAAGCTGTCAGCCAACATCTGCTGAAATTACCCACCAGCCACTATCCAAACAGTGGTGACTGACTGGGTTCTGGGGATAAGCTTCCTTATCCTCAAAGTCTCCCACACATATTCAGAGCCCAGTCACCCATTTCCCCTGAAGAATAGGATAATTTCATGAACATATTGTACCACACAGGTCAGGTTAAGCTAATAGATACTTGTAGACACATACACACACACAGGCACACAATCAGTCACGCAAGCAAGTACGTATATATGCACTGAGACATCCAGACATACTGTCCCTAATTTCTTTTTGCATTCTAATCCTCTCTGAGGCTATTAATATTTCTGTTTCCATGGCAATGGTAGAAGAGTCAGAGCCAAGCCGAGCGAAGTGGAGTGCAGTGAGAAGATAAGAGCATTTGACCTGTATGGACCGCAGGGCGCGAGGTCAAGCAGAAGTGTAAGAGTAAGTCATTCAGACATGAACCTCGCCCTCTTCCTCACCTCCTCCGTTCACCAGTTAGATTAATGAACCCATGGGAAGAGGGGGAAGAGGGGGAAGAGGGGGGGAGAAGGGGAAGGCGAGGCAGACTCGTCTCCACCCCGGTAGAAGAGGGGACCAAAAGCTATTTCTTATTACTCCCATGTGCCCTTTCTCCCTCCAAGTGGATGGAAGTTTTCCTAATTACTAAAGCCTTTTTTTAATTACTGATTGTGTGTGTAAATCAGGCAATAAAAAGCAGGTAGGTAGCCAACAGCATTCTGAAACGGCTGCTTGATTATATTTTGGGTGGCATTTCCAACGTTAATGGCCCCCATCCATAGCCTTAAATATCACAGCCACCTCCTACCTTTGTCACAGGCAATTAAAAAAATATATATTTGCTTTCGAAGCTCTGGCTCTTACCTGCTTGCTGTTGTACTTTGGCTGGCTGGCCTTGTAGCTATAATCCGAGTACTGGTCTGAGCCTGTTGAGTTGTCGTCTCCTCCAGTCCCTACGAAGGTGTTGGTGGCAGGGAGGTCCTGGACCGCCTGATGCTTCTGGGAGGCCGAGGGGGACTGGGCCTGCAGCTGGATGGATGGCAGGGGAGAGTTGGAGCGGTAGTGTCTGCCAAGGTCAGGGCTGCCTGGGGGGTATGTCAGGGGCAGGTGGATCCTGGGGCTGTCATTGACCCCATCCAGGTTGAACTTGAGACTCTTCTGGAGGCTGACCTCCTCCTCTTCTCCCAAGGGCTTGGGGGCCTTGGAGGGCTTTCCTTTCCTGCCCCTCTTGCCTTTGCCGTTCTTTGGTCCCTGCTTGGGGGCGTAAAGGTCCTTGGTCTCCTTCTTGCCAGCCTGATAGCCGCTCTTCGTTTCCCTCTGAATGCGGTGGCGGATAAACACCACCACTATGATCACCATGACAACGCCCGCCACTCCTGCCAGGCTTCCGTACACAATGTTACTGCGCTGGGCCGCCAGGCTGTGGTCTGGGTCACCAGCGATGTCTGTCTCCAGAGGGGTGTAGAGACTGTGTCCCACCAGCGCTTCCACCAGGCTGACATTAGCGATGGTCTCGTTGACATAGATGTGCACCATGGCAGTGGCGTGGCGTGCGGGCTTGCCCTCGTCACTCACCCTCACCACCAGGCGATGGAGCCCACCATGTTTCTGCGTCAGCTCCTTGGCCAGGGTGATCTCCCCAGTAGTGGAGGAGATGCTGAAGAGTTCATAAGGGTTTCCTCCAGTGATGCTGAAGACCAGCTCTGCATTGGGCCCAGTGTCCAGGTCTTCAGCCTCCACTAGCTCCACACGGCTGTCTGGGGCAGCTAGAGGGGACAGGAGTCTGAAGGAGGAGTTGGAGGGCTTGGTGACCACAGGATCATTGTCGTTTTCATCCAGGACATTGATGGTAACGCCTACATAGGAGGACCTGGGAGGCTCTCCCCCGTCCACGGCCTTCAGACGGAAGGTGTAGCTGCTCTCCTTCTCCCGGTCAAAGGAGATGCTGGACAGGATGGTTCCTGTTCCATTCTGAATCACAAACTTCCCTCCGTCCGGATCCACAGAGAGCTGCACTCTGGCGTTCTCTCCCTGATCCATGTCCAGCACAGTCACCATGCCAACGGCGCTGAGTGGGGGCATGTTCTCCAGAACAGAGAAGCTGTAGCCACTCAGCATGAACTTGGGGTCGTTGTCATTACGGTCCAGCACTTTGACCACAACCGTGGCTGTTCCTCTGTGACTGGGGGAGCCTTTATCGGACGCGGTGACCCGGAACTCATAGCGTTCTTTATGCTCTCTGTCCAGTGGGCTCCGTGCCCTTACCTCCCCTGAAACGGGGTCAATCTCAAACAGGCCCCTGGTAGATGTGTCTGCTACGATGCTGTAGACCAGCTCTGCGTTAGTGCCGCTATCAGCGTCCGTGGCAACCACATCCACAACCTTGTCCCCTGGCTGGTTCTCCTCTGCAAAGGCAACCTCAAACAGGGCCGGGGAAAACACTGGGGAGTTGTCGTTAACATCAGTCACCTGCACCTTCAATGAGTTAGTACTGGAGAGAGCTGGGTTGCCAGAGTCAACAGCCACAATCTCCACACGGTATTCCCTGACCCTCTCATAGTCCAAGGGGGTTGTAGTCTGCAGAAAGTACTTCCTCTTGTTAGTGGACGAGTCACTAGCCGGGCGCAGCTGGAAGGGTACGTCCCCCGCCACCACACAGGTGACCACCGCATTCTCCCCCTCGTCCCTGTCAGACACCTGGACGAGGGCCACCGCTGTGCCCACGGGCATGTCCTCTGATATGTTCGCCACCCCGTCACTGTGGGTCACCAGGCCGATCCCACGGATCTCTACAGCAGGGGAATTGTCGTTCTGGTCAGTCACCTGGATTGTAACAAAGGTCTTGGAGCTTTTGGGTTGGGGACCCTTGTCCCTGGCCACTACGTAGAATGTCAAATCGCTGATTTCCTCCCGATCCAAGGGCCCTTTGACATAGATGATGCCAGTGGAGCGATCAATTCGCAGGAGTTTTGGCACTGGGTCTAATGCCTGGTGTAGTGTATATTCTATCTCTCCATTGGGGCCCATGTCAGAGTCATTGGCTTTTACCTGCAATCAGAGACAAGGGATTAGGTTAGAGGTTGGGATCAGGGTAAGAATTCAGGGATTATGTTAGCATATGGAGGTATGGGTAAGGGGTTTAGGTTTACGGCCCCATGTCATTGAAGTTAACTTACAGCAGGAGGGCAATAAGCAAGGGAGTCTAAATGTGCATATTATAAACATTTTTTGCCATAATATCAGAACACACCATCCCAGCTTCAGAGAGACACGTGTGTAATGAAAATATATGTAAACTGAGGGTTTATTTGACTCAAAACTGTCAACCAAAATACCCACTCGGGAAGAAACTTTATTGAGTGGGCTAATTGTTCAAAAAACATTCAACGAATTGGCTAAGCTTTGCTGCTTTTGGCAGCAGTTCAATAAGACTACACTGTGAAATTATATATTCAGTAACATCATTCAGGCATTTCATCATGGTAAAAGCCTAGAAACCCAGCACTGCATGTTGGACCCTAATGAGTTGTGGATTTAACCACTTTGTCTTCTCACAGTCAAAGTTGTATACAATCTATACAGTAGCGTACACAACACATTGATCACTCTGCAATATTAAAATAATGTTTTACCTGCAAAACAGAGTGTCCCACAGGGCTGTTTTCTGAAACCTCAGCCTCGTACGTGGCCTTCTCAAACTTCGGAGCATTATCGTTAGCATCAGCAACCACCACTCTCAGCAAGGCACTGCTATAGCGCTGGGGGTTACCTCCGTCCACAGCTTTGATTGTCAGGTCGTACGAGTCCTTGAGCTCCCGGTCCAGACTGCCCAGGACGATGAGCTGGGGCAGCTTCTCCCCCCTGTCTTCCGCCACCTGCAGGCCGAAGAGCGTCGCTGCATCTGGCCCAGCGATGAGGGCGTAGTCCGCCACCCTGTTCCTCTCCGAGTCCCTGTCTGTGGCCAGGGGGATGGAGAACAGCGCTCCCAAGTGGGTGTTTTCTGGGACAGAGATGGTGAGCACGGGGGAGGGGAACTGCGGCGTGTTGTCATTGATGTCCTGGACCTCGATTCGGCCCTCGATGAGCCTCGGGCTCTGGTTGTGGATTAGGTCTGTGACAGACACTTCAAACTCCAGGAAGCAGGGCTTGCCCCTGACCATACTGCGGCAGTCCCTCAGTGTCTCCCTGTCCATGGGGATCTCTGTGGTGAAGATGTCCCCTGTCTTCCCATCCACACGCAGGTACGGAGCGCCCACCTCCAGCTTGTACAGGTGACCAGAGTCTGGCAGGCCCTGGTCTGATGCCAGGCTGCCTATCAGCGTGCTGGGGGGCTGCTCCTCCTGGACCCGGTAGAGGATACCAGCCTCAACCCAACCACAGCAGTCCAACACCAGGACCCACAACAGAACTGCTCCCAAGCACAGTTCCATGAAGTCCGTCACTAGATTACCTACCTGCAAAGAAATAGAAAAAAATTCAACATTAAAGATATCATGAAAAACTGTACTTGGGCTTAAGGTTTATCGGTTATATTGAATGTGCTCTGAAACAACATAGTTATTCAACAGCCATAGTTATACATACAGTATTTAAATATTCACTGAGGCTGCCTATCAGCGTGCTGGGGGGCTGCTCCCCCCCCCCCCCCCCCTTTTGCCCTAACAACAGCCTCAATTCGTCTGGGCATGGACTCTACAAGGTGTCGAAAGCGTTCCACAGTGATGCTGGCCCATGTTGACTCCAATGCATCCCACAGTTGTGTCAAGTTGGCTGGGTGTCCTTTGGGTGGTGGACTATTATTGATACACACGGGAAACTGTTGACACTATATATATAGTATCTTGTTGGGGTTTAATTAAGATGTTAAAATAATTAATTAAAATATTTTTACATTAGTGAAAAAACGTTATTCTCCCAGGTATGTTTCTTCTCATTGACAATGCAGGGAACGATTCATCATATGTGGCATATTTACCAAAAACAAGCTCTCCACAGTGGAATAGACAATATATCCTTGTTAAGAGAGCAAGGATTATCTTTCCCCTGTCAACAGGACAAAACCCAGGAAACATCAGCAATGAGCATAACAGCCATAGTTATACATACAGTATTAAAATTTTCACTCAGTTTTGGAAAATACATTTAATGACCTACGATTACGCATATCCTACCAACGGGACATTAAAAACTGTAATATCTTATGTTTCACAGAGTCGTGGCTGAACGACGACATGGACAACATACAGCTAGCGGGCTATACACTGCATCGGCAGGATAGAACGGCTGACTCCGGTAAGACAAGGGGTGGCGGTCTGTGTATATTTGTAAACAACAGCTGGTGCACAAAATCAAATACTAAGGTAGTCTCAAGGTTTTGCCCGCCTGAGGTAGAGTACCTTATGATAAGCTGTAGACCACACTATTTACCAAGAGAGTTTTCATCTATATTTTTCATAGCTGTCTATTTACTACCTCAAACCAATGCTGGCACTAAGATTGCAGTCAATGAGCTGTATAAGGCCATAACTAAACAGATGATTGTGGACTACAGGAAAAAAAAGAGGACTGAGCACGCCCCCATTCTCATCGAATGGGGCTGTAGTGGAACAGGTTGAGAGCTTCAAGTTCCTTGGTGTCCACATCACCAACAAACTATCATGGTCCAAGCACACCAAGACAGTTGTGAAGAGGGCACGACAAAGCCTATTCCCCCTCAGGAGACTGAAAAGATTTGGCATAGGTCCTCAGATCCTCAAAAGGTTCTACAGCTGCACCATCGAGAGGATCCTGACTGGTTGCATCACCACCTGGTATGGCAACTGCTCGGCCTCCGACCGCAAGGCACTACAGAGGGTAGTGCGTACGGCCCAGTACATCACTGGGGCCAAGCTTCCTGCCATCCAGGACCTTTATACCAGGCGGTGTCAGAGGAAGGCCCTCAAAATTGTCAAAGACTCCAGCCACCCTAGTCATAGACTGTTCTCTCTGCTACCGCACGGCAAGCGGTACCAGAGCGCCAAGTCTAGGTCCAAAAGGCTTCTCAACAGCTTCTACCCCCAAGCCATAAGACTCCTGAAAAGCTAATCATGGCTACCCAAACTATTTGCACCCCCACCCCATCTTTTTACGCTGCTGGTACTCTGTTAATTATTTATGCATAGTCACTTTAACTCTACCCACATGTACATATTACCTCAACTTCATCAACTAGCCGGTGCCCCCGCACATTGACTCTGCACCGGTACCCCCTGTATATAGCCTCCCTACTGTTATTTTATTTTACTTCTGCTCTTTTTTTTCTCAACACTTTTTTGTTGTTGTTGTTTTATTTTACTTTTTTATTAAGAAATAAATGCATTGTTGGTTAAGGGCTGTAAGTAAGCATTTCACGGTTATGTCTACACCTGTTGTATTCGGCGCATGTGGCAAATAATTTTTTTTATTTTTTTTTTTGGTAACATGTTTCTCCCAAGGACCATTTTTGCCGTGCATGAAAATGTATGGTTCAGATGTTGGAGATTTTCTCCACTGTCTTAGTGACTTACAGGGAATTTATAGAGCAATGAGCACCCAATCGTCTATTTTGAAAGGAAGAATTTAACAAATAGGGATGATAATGTCATTCATCTAAATGTGGAATCGTTCCCCTCCTTCTTTTTGCCACATTAATTAAACCCAATTGAAAATTGAGCTTTTGCAGCAGTTTGTTACTGTTTTCATTCACTAAAACAGATCTTCAGCACAGTGCTGAGGATATCAAAAACGGCAACAGCCAGTATTGAAAACTTGTGTAAGCGCTATAATGAATGCATATTTTTTTCAAGAATTGATTTCCAGACAGAGTTTACACAGAAGATAAAGTGAGAGAGGCCCAGTGTGCATTACGGCAGCTATATAATCCAATGCAGAGCCTCAAATACCTAGCACAGTGCCATGGTTCAAATTTGAGCCTCCTAGACATCATTAAATGTGTATAGAAGCAGCTTGTGGACCCAACACCAAAGAAAAAATCCAACACTGTTGAACAAACCATACAGTATGTTACGAAACCTTGACGATATGATATAAAGACAAGACTGAAAATGCATAATCTGACTGATCTAATACTAGAGAGGTCTGACCCACCTAAGGCTTCAGCTGCAGCGACCCAGAGTCTCACAGAGGCAGCAGCACACCAGTGTTTAGCTTCATGTGGAACATGTTGCAGATCTGCAGACCTGGCCTACGCCTTATCACAAAATACAGCTTTACTTTAGAGTTGATGAGATCTCCATCCCACTCTGCTGTTATGGGCTAATTTACACACTGTAATGTTCATGTTTGATTTCTAACCTGCTATGCCACCTCATTAATCACTACCCACTAGTTTAGCTTCTGCTTTGATCCATATTCCCCAAGCTAAAGAATTCACAATTTTTTCAGACTGCAAATGATTCTAGACTTTAATTATTTCATGCGTGAGAAGAGTTCTCGCTGTAACTTGAAAGAGGATAAGACAGTTCATTGGGGTGGTATATATAGTTGTAGTGCTCCAGCACATTTCCTGATAGCCTTTGCATGCTGATGTATGTATGTATGTATGTACGTGTGTGTATGTATGTGTGTGTATGTGTGTATGTGTGTGTGTGTATGTGTGTGTGTGTGTATATGTGTGAGTATGTGTGTGTGTGTGTGTGTGTGTGTGTGTGTGTGTGTGTATGTATGTGTGTGTGTGTGTGTGTGTGTGAGTGTGGTCTTGTTTCTTCTATCCTCGTGGGGACCTGAAATCCCCAAAGGTCCCCACAAGGACAGTAAAACAAGGAAAATTCTTCCTCATGGAGACTTTTCCCACATCCCCACGACGACAAGGCTTTAAGCTTAGGGGTTGGGTTTAGGGTTAGCATTAGAATTAGGGTTAGGCGTTAGGTTTAGGGGGTCAAGGTTAGGGTTAAGGTTAGGGAAAATAGGATTTTGAATGGAAATAAAATGTTACTGTATGTCCCCACAAGGAATAAAAAAAACAAGTGTGTGTATGTGTGTGTGTGCGTGTCAAAAAGCATGCATGAACAAATTTAGTGATCCTATAGGTGCATACATTTTTGCCCGTAAGTCAATATTTTTCTGCCCCTCCTTGCATGCAACAATGTTCCAAAGCAGAGCAAAGCAAGTACATGTTAAAACTAAACAGCAAAACATGAGCATGTCTAGAAATCCATTTAGAAATCCAATTCCTTCCAATCCGTTAAGATTGGAAGTGCAGGTTATTGATGCACTAATTGCTTGGTTATTGATGTGTCTCTTTTTACATTTGCAGGGCAGCCTCCAGTCGATGTGGCTTGAATGACAGCATGTGAGGTAAAAGCATGATTAAAGAGTACAACGTAACGCAACATTTTTGTTAAACCTAAGACTACAGCTACATAGAAACTAAACATCTATTAAGATTTTATAAATAAACTAAATTGGAGGAGATCAGAGAAGATATTACTTTTCCAGCCTGATGTAGACATGTTAATGTGATGAGCTTGTGGTGACAAACATGTGGAGACAAATAAACTTAATGACACAATGACAGCTAGACAACCCAGAGTACATTATCACCCTCATCCTCCATATCCACCATCGCTGAGAAAGACAGTCATCAAGTTCAACAGTAATGATCCATTACAATATCTCCTTTAAAATTGTTGCTTTACAAAGGAGCATGATGAAAGCAGCATTGAACTGCTCTACTGTAGTATAAAGACCTAAATGAGATGGCCTCTATCTACGCCTTTTGTAGATAGGCCTAATACTAATCATAAACAAGTCCCATCCTTGTTTATCTAAAATCAGCCATCCATTTGCTAAAAAACGATATCCAGAACTACAGTACTGTATTGACTAGCGTGATAACAATCCAAAAGCTTCTCAGATGACATATCTAAAACAGATCCCAAGAGATACCAAATACTAAAGGCAAAAAAAGATACCACTCACTCAATTAGGCTAAATCATATACAACTCACTCCCAATAAGTGTCATATGGCCCTTCAGGAGTCTCCATACAGTGAATGAATGTCTCTCAGAGGTTCTTTAAAATGTCTCCTTAATAAAGCCATAACCACACTTTCCTCTAGATAAGAGACTCTCCAAACACTCATTAGAAGTGATCACATAATCACTTCCAAGGAGATAATTACAACAATATTCTTTCAACAGTCTCCAGATCAGGTACACACACACACACACTGTATTCTGTATCAGTGTGGACAGTAGCAACTCAGATTATAGTCACACATTCATCGTCAGATAAGAGTCTATGGAAGCCTCAATTCCAGAGGCAATATACTGAGTAACAAACATAGGTTATTCATACCTATGAGTGGACTACTCCACTGAAGAGTCTAAGCCTAGTTTCCATTTCAGATAAGAGTCCATACACTTTCAGGTAACAGATAAGAGCAGATATACAATTACAACTCAACCTGGACTG